CAAAGTGGCGACGACAGGCGTTCCTCAGGGCTCTGCATTAGGACCAGTACTTTTCCTCTTACTTTTCATAATGTTGGTACATTTTAAATTGCCAAATGAACTAAAAGTATGAATTTGGAGAACGGGGAACTGTGGAACAAATCTGAGTACGCCCCTGCATTTTTCTCTACAAAAAATGTCCCAATAATCATTTCATTCGGATCCAAAATAATAACAAATAGGTTTTTTATGTTAAAACACTCCAATTACAAATATCGTCTACACGAATATCTTGACTGAAAAGGGGCGTGCGGAATAAAAATCGTCAGAAATTTCGGTCGTTTAGTTTCATTGAAAGCGAACATGGTTAATACATTGTTAATGGGTCTCGTGGACTGCTTTTCAACTTCTTTTCGGTAGCTCCAAGGCGATAAGCTTAGGTAACCTGCCATGAATATTTATACCCTTCTCGACGATTAAACAAATTTGCATGATTTTCTCTTTGACCGCTTGTTACTTGTCTACAGAGAGATTAAGTTCCGTAATCAAATTTAAGGAGAGCAATGGCAAACAATATTTTTCGATGGATCTCCATTGAAATTTAAAACAAGGCTTGCGCAATTAGGGTGTTGGGTAAACATTTTTAGGTGGAAATAGATATGGTCTGTTCATAGATATAAGAGAGTGACCAATTGCTTTTGAATGGGATTATCCAAGGGTGGTCATTAACATACAATGCAACAAGATTATTAATTGTAATAGAATATAATTTTATGTGTTTAATATTCCTTGGTTTAGTATACTACTTAGTTTAAGTTTATTAGTAATCACTCTTATTTCGTGTGTAATACAGCGTGTCTTGAGTCTGCGAAAAATATTAAAGATTCCTCTCTGGACTACCATGAAGACACCACCGCTGATTTATTTGAAAGTTGGTTTAAAAACAAACTAGTTCCAAACATTCCTCCTAATAGCGTCATTGTAATGGACAATGCAAGTTATCACAGTAGACAGTTGACTAAAACCCCTGCTCATGTGACACAAAAGCAACAATCCAAAACTACATGTATAATAACGAAGATTATACCAAAAAGCAATTAATTGAGGTTTTACAAAGCTCGAACCTACAAAAGGAATACGTCTGTTATTATTATGCAAAAAATCTAGGACATACAGTTTTATCACTGTATATTTAATGCCATTGAACATGTTTTGCACCAACTGAAATCTGCCATTCGTCATAACAATGTTTTTGGCCGTGTTAACTCCAATGTAATCAAACCTATAGAAACATCCCTCCACAAAGTTGGTCAAATTCTGTTAAACATATAGAAATAGCAGAACCATCGTATATCCATATTGCAAATAATATAGAACAAATAATAATTAGAACAGGCGATGATAGCGATAGTGATACTGATATTTTAAGTAATTTAAGTAGGTAACAAAAATAATTTGGAATTTTATTTTTGATTTAAACATAAATACATAAATAAATAAATAAATATTTTTTAGTATATTTCCTAACAAACCCTCAAATAATTAAATTCTAAGCAAAGTACGGACCCATTCGGCCATATTTCACTCTTACAGCTTGCTCGGGTCTTTCCTTAATTCGTAATAGTTAGTCACTTTCTTATTTCTATGAACAGACTTTACATTTCATTTTTAATTTTATCCGTTTGAAAAATACCAGTAATAAACTAACGAATGGGTCAAAAATATGTTCATCAAATAAAAATAAGTACCAAAGCTTCATTTTATGCGAAACACGTAATTTTTTTATATCGTTATTCTAATTATTTCGTTCTAAACCGGGGATGTCCAACATATTGGGTTGATATTCCTGGTATTATTACTTTTGAACTTAAAATATAAATAAAAGGCTTTTTTAAGTCAACACTGGTCTCCGGTACGCGAGCTTCGTCGAAATCACGTTTCAAATACTTCCGAATGAAAGGGTCCAAATATGCGGGCAGTAACGAAACAAAACATCAAGAAGTCGGTTTTTCAAGACGCAAATAATTTTCGAGTTCGTCGAATAACAAACTAATAAGTTATGTTCGTTAACGTTCAAATTAGTAAGTAATCATATTTTAATCGTTTTTTGATTCGCACTCGGAAATTTAAAAGGTAAGTGCCCATTTAATTAAAGTTATTCGTTTGCTCGACGCGTCAGTGGTAGTCGGCAATTAAAAAAGGTAAGCTTTATTCGCTAAAGGGCGTCGTTATCGTAAACAAAGAGAGTAGCTTTTGATTTCGCTTCGAATATTTAATGTGCTCCCGTGCGTGCGTGTGTCACATCGTGCAGCTGTTGTCCCGGAATAGAAATTAATTTCAATTTAGTTTCAATTATTATACTAACTACTAACAATATTTGTATTGGCAGAAAATCGGCAAGGATTTAAAAATGGCAAAAGTACAATGTCAGCCATACACTTTGTTTCTAAAAAACTTTATGAAAACGCACACGCAAAAGAGGGGAAATCAATTGAAAATCCATTTTAACGACAATATAAAATTTCCTGGACTTGAAAATGGTTAATAGAAAGTTAAGTAAGTAAAAATTGATAGAATGCACAAATTAAAACTATTTTAAAATATACAGGGTGGCTTAAAAACAGGCAGGATATAACAAAAATAAATGGTTTTGAATTATTTCAACTTTTTGTTTAGTTTTTTTCCGATATTTTGATTTTTATGTATTTCTATTGTGTATGCAACGCTATTCGAATTAGATGCTACAGGGTGATCAAAATAAACGTGTATATTTGGATCATTCGTGTTAAATTGAATTTTTTTTTTCTGAAATATCTTACAAAAGCCTACCACGTTCATTAAATATTATTATTGTCAAATTTTCAGAAAAAATTTTACGAGTTTGTCAAAAATTTATTTTATAAAAAAAAGTTCTATAGTGTAGAAGGTTATTTTAAAATTACAAGGGCCCGTGAATTATAGTTTTTTTCCATTCGGTTTAGAATTAAAGAAAAGTTTTTCTATTCTATAATGTCGCAATGTCGAAAATGGCCGACGATCATTTTATGTCCTGAAGAATAATCAATAATAGCCGTCAATCATTAGGGGGGGATATTTCCGCAACTGATAATCTAGAATAAGCATTAATAAGGCAACAGTAAACAAAATTCCGTGTGCTAGGCGAGCGAAAATAATAATGCAGTTCTCCTCTTCGAATTGTATTTATATTATTGTGTATGTTGGTATTTCAGAGAAGATTTTTCGACATTTTTAATATACAAGGTTATTCTTGCCATATATAGAAAAATTGAAATGAAAATAGAATATAAAAAGTTCGTAATAAAAGTTTTTTATTCATAGATGCACAAATTGATACTTGATACACAATGCAAATTGATAAAATCTTACAGTGACAAAATATTGTTAAGTTTTTAAGTTACCTAGAATTTCCACCGCGTTAAACTATATTATTTCATTTATTTAACAAAGTAAACAAAGTAATAATTAGGATTTTAAGAACCTTGTACTGAACTTTAAACACTAATAATATGTTAAATAAAAAAAAAACATGAGTGATGAGTGGTATATTCTGGTTTTTAAGATAACAGTATCTATCAAAGGTAGAACTTTTTCTAACTAATTTCAATATTGTAAAAACTTAACGTTTGTTATTTAAATATTAAAGTTTTTTAGGTTATGTATAAAGTATCGCTGAAACTTTGTAAAAATATTTTCCTTTATTGTCCCTGATAATATTTACTAAAAAAATAAATAAGAAAAGTTCAGATTTTCACGAAATTATATATTTTGATATGACAGTTGTTTCGACAACACCGCGTCTTTATCAAATGTAATATTTACAAACTGCCTGCTACTATATATATACCGAAAGGTAACCCTAAAACCTTAATTAATATTGTTGTGAGAATTTAAGTTCAATAAATGAGAGGTATTTAAATCTAATTGATCGTTAAGCAATACATTTGAATGTCTCATTTTGTTAATCTCCATGACTTCCAATAAATTTAATTTTCTACGAAAACGAAGTTTACAATATTTTGGTAGAAAAGAAACATATATTGGCACATTCATTCATTAATTGGCTCGGAAAACTCAGTTACATGGTTGACATTTTCGAAAAACTTTTTAATAATAAGCTGATACTTTGGCAAGAAGAATTAACCAAAAACAACACAGACATGTTTCCGTGCTTTTCAGGATTTACTAATGAAAATAATATTAGATTTCAGGTTATTTAAAAGCATCATTTCCCATCATTTGATAAAATCGGGAAAAAACTTTACGAAAAGGTTCGAAAAATTTCCAAATACAGAATTAGCTTGGATTCGTGATCAATTTTCGTTTGATATTATTAATTCCAATATCCCCTTGAATGAAAAAGAACAGTTAATTGATATTTCGAGTGACGAAACTCTGCGTATTCGGTTTAGGTCTCTGACTTGCCAAAAATTTTGGTTATCAGCTGAAAACAAATATGCCGATTTGGAAAAAAAGAGCAATCAATATTTTGATTCAATTCGCATCAACCTACTCATGTGAATCCGGCTTTTCAAAATTAGTTGCCATTGAGACAAAATATCGATCTCTTTGCAAGCGCAAACCTTACATTAAATTCTTATGAGTAAATGTTTGAATGTTTTTTTTATTAAATAAATATCTGTACTCATATGCCTAATATATAAGATGAAACAGGTGGTGTACTGAAATAAAGTCAAAATGGTGACGACAGGCGTTCCTCAGGGCTCTGCATTAGGACCAGTACTTTTCCTCTTACTTTTCATAAGGTTGGTACATTTTAAATTGCCAAATGAACTAAAAGTTTAAGTTTGGAGAACGGGGAACTGTGGAACAAATCTGAGTACGCCCCTGCATTTTTCTCTACAAAAAAATGTCGCAATAATCATTTCATTCGAATCCAAAATAATAACAAATAGGTTTTTTATGTTAAAACACTCCAATTACAACTATCGTCTACACGAATATCCCGACTGAAAAGGGGCGTGCGGAATAAAAATCGTCAGAAATTTCGGTCGTTTAGTTTCATTGAAAGCGAACATGGTTAATACAATGTTAATGGGTCTCGTGGACTGCTTTTCAACTTCTTTTCGGTAGCTCCAAGGCGATAAGCTTAGGTAATTTTAATTTTAAATTTATTTAACAAAGTAAACAAAGTAATTATAAGTCATAATTAGGATTTTAAGAACCTTGTACTGAACTTTAAACACTACTAATATGTTAAATAAAAAAAAACGTGAGTGATGAGTGGTATATTCTGGTTTTTAAGATAACAGTATCTATCAAAGGTAAAACTTTTTCTAACTAATTTCAATATTGTAAAAACTTAAAGTTTGTTATTTAAATATTAAAGTTTTTTAGGTTATGTATAAAGTATCGCTGAAACTTTGTGAAAATATTCTCCTTTAATGTCCCTGATATTATTTACTAAAAAAATAAATAAGAACTAAAAGTTCAGATTTTCAAATTATATATTTTGATATGACAGTTGTTTCGACAACACCGCGTCTTTATCAAATGTAATATTTACAAACTGCCTGCTACAATATATACCGAAAAATGACCATAAAACCTAAATTAATTAAGGAGACGTATTTAAATCTAATTGATCGTTAAGCAATACATTTGAATGTCTCATTTGGTTAACCTCCGTGGCTTCCAATAAATTTAATTTTCTACTTTTTGTGGCTGTATGCAAAATATCAAAATTGTCGTCAAAAATGTGTTTTTCTGTGTTTAAGTGGGATTTTGTACATTTCGTTTTATTGTTTTTTAAAAATTTTCTTATTGTGTTGTTAGTTCTGAAAGCTATTTTTAAACCACATTTTGACAAATGTTTTGAAACTTTTTCACAAGACTCTCCTATGTATGCAATTGTTTTTAATTGTTCGTATTAATTATTATGTGGATACATTTCGTGTCATTTGTTTTAATTTTATGACTATTTCGTCAATACAAAACAAAAGTGTAAGCCATCAATGAAAGAATTGTTCTGATAATACTGTATTTTATCGTTACAAATAAGTGCATTAATTTTTTCAGGATCATTCTAACTATTCGAAAGTGTAGCGTATATATTTAAGTTAGTATTAAAATTTTTTAGAGCAGCCTCAGTTATTTAGTCAGTTATTTAAAATACAAAATTCCTTAGGTTTTTAAATAGAAGAAATCGATAGTTTATTTTCAATTTTTGCAAAGCCACTCTTAATGACACGAAAGTTCCTAAAACAGCGATACTTTACAAATTTGAGTTCCGTATATTTTAACGAAACCCAAAATGCAGTAAAATTAATTTACGATCAGAAATGTGATAAGTATTCTAAATATAGTCCGTCCCAATCTTCAATAAAACTTGGGTCCGATGAGTATTAAAGGACAGAACTTTCAAAGATTTTGGTAATACAGTATATAGCGAAATTGAAGGAACTGCTTTTTTTCCTTATAAAGAGTTTTCCTTATAAAAAGTTATAGACACTTGAAAAATAACAACACGCCTATGTGTTCCGTAATATTTAATTTTTTTATGCACATATTTTAACAACTACTTAGAAACATTTTATATAAATATTTATGAGCTACATTTAATGTTTCAAATAATCGTTCATTTTCTTTTGAATTTTTTTAGTATGTCAATACGCATCTCGTACTGTGGGTTATATTTTCACCATTTCCTCGAGAGAGGCTTTGGTGTATACGTTTTTCTTTGTTACCTTTGAACCAAATGGATTTACCAGCATTTTTCTAAACATTGATTTTCACCGTCCCTTTCAGGTCCAAATCAGAATTTGCAAACATGAACAACGTAACCACCTTCTGCGTTGGAGTTCTACTACTCGTATGTGCCGTCACTTCTGAGCTACTGTCGCCATGCCCGAGGCTGTTTCGATACGAAGAAAGGCCCCGGCGAAGAGGACCGATGGTACGGAACCGCTGTATTGATGTCAGAAAATAAACTTTACGGCGTCTGGTTCAAACTGTTTTTGGACAAACCTGCTACGCGATTAGGCGTGAGTACGCATTTGTTATTTTATAATAATAATGATAATATTAATAATAATAATAATAATAATAACTATAATTATTTGGTCACACGGGATATAAAAAATGGTTTCAACTGTGCTAGTCATAAAATAATTAAACCTGATAACAAGCTACCCGGCAGATCGAAAGATAATTGTTGATCGTGGCATAGTCATGGGGACCAACCCTATGGAACGTCCTTTACGACGATTTGCTCAGCCTGGAGCTCACTAGAGGTGCTGATTGTTGGTGCAAATGGTGATGCATGTCTGATGAATAACGTCAATAACTGTCTGAAACAAATCTCTCAATGGATGTCAGACCACCAGTTAACCATAGAACCAACCAAGACGGAGGCTATAATACTAAAAGGGAAACGGATGAGAGACCATATTAACTTCGAACTACTTGGCACTAGACTGTACGGGCAGGATAGCGTCTTATTGAAAATTTCATCTCTCAAAAAAAAAATTATAATAATAACAACAACAACAACAATAATAATAATAATAATAATAATAATAATAATAATAATAATAATAATAATAATAGTAATAATAATAATAATAATAATAATAATAATAATAATAATAATAATCGTTAAAAAAATTAAAAAAATAATAGTAATAATAATAAATTGCCTTTATTGTTGTATATTGTTATATACAAATATACAGTAGAGAAGAGGTGAAGTCTAGCAAAAGCTACTCCACTTAACCTTTTAAATGTTTAAATTGAAAACTAAATAGGAAGTTATAAATACATTGATAAATTAAATATAGTGTAATAGATAAATGTAATAGTAATGTGGAACAATAGAAAGTTATTAGAAGTAAAAATAAAAAGAATAACATTGGAAATCAAAATATTTGAGAAGCTTGAACCTGAAATATTTTTTAAAGAATTGAATTGAATTTGATTTTACTGGATCGAGTATACTATTAAAAATTACAACAGCCTTATAAGAAAATGATCTGCGGAAAAAAGATTAACGATATCGTGGCAGTGAGAGTCTGTAGGGGTGCCTTGAAGCCACTGATTCAACATTACGAGACTGTAATTTAGCTCGTAAGTAGGACGGATTGGATGTACTAATAATTTGAAACATCATAGACGCCAAGAAGTCTTGAAAGTACTGTCAATGTTTAGCCAGTTAAGTTCCTGGATTTTGTGGGAAATCCTATCTAATTTACGCAAGCCGAAAATAAATCTTCAACAGCTGTTTCGAATTTTTTGCAATCTATATTTATTAATACTATCAAGTTATTTGTAATATGAGTGAGCTAAAAGTTTCCGTGAACTGAAATTAAGGACAGCTCTATGCCTGTATAAATGGCGCAAAACCAAATAAGACTTTTTCACGAACAAAGATACATATTCCACGAACCTAAGTCTACAATGAAATATAACACCAAGATTTTTATTACAATTCACAATTTTCAAACGATCAAAATACATTTGGGATACTTGTTCAATGTTAGGTTTACGAGAAAAGCACATTACACTGCATTTTTTAACATTAAGTTGAAGATTATGCCTAGAAGAATATAGAAATAGATTATGCAAATTCAAATTGATATAAATTGAAGCAATATCAAATAATTTAGGATCGAAGGAGTAAAATAGCTGAGTGTCATCAGCAAATGAATGCAAATTCACAACCCACATTCATTCATTCACAACAAATGACTATTTTGCATGCTGGCGCTAAAAATGGTTGGATTCCAAATCGACTTTCTCTGTCTGCGAAAAATATTAAAGATTCTGCTCCAAAGTTGGTTTAAAAACAAACTAGTTCCAAACATTCCCCCTAATAGCGTCATTGTAATGAACAATGCAAGTATCACAGTAGACAGTTGACTAAAACCCCTTCCTCATGTGACCAAAAGCAACAATCCAAAACTGCATGTATAATAACGACATTTATTTTCACGAAGATTATACCAAAAAGCAATTAATTGAGGCTTTTAACATCCCTCCACAAAGTTGGGCAAATTATGTTAAACATATAGAAAAAGCAGAACAATCGTATATCCATATTGCAAATAATATAGAACAAATAATAATTAGAACAGGCGACGATAGCGATAGTGATATTGATATATTATGTGAATAATTTTAAGTAATTTAAGTAGGTAATAAAAATAATTTGTAATTTTATTTCAGATTTAAACATAAATACATACATAAGTAAATAAATATTGTCTAGTATGTTTCCTAACAAAACCCCAAATAATTAAATTCTAAGCAAAGTACGGACCTGTTCGGCCATATTTCATTCTTACAGCTTGCCCGGGTCTTTCCTTAGTTAGTCACTTTCTTATATCTATGAACAGACTTTACACAATCAACACCAGCAGAATTTGACTTAAAACCTGAAATAGTGGCTAATAGTATTAATAATAATGATAATAATAATAAAGCTTCATTTCAAAGCATAATTACATTGGAATAGTGTCATTTACAGTGGTCGTCTTATATGTTTTGAATAAATCTACAGTATTCTTCGACACTATGTGGTTCAATTTCTACGAGTTTGAGTTGTCCTGCCTTCCTGTATATTATTTAGTAAATTATTGTGGAGCCCAAAGTTATTCTATAATTTTTTAGCTATATCTCAAATTTCCTTTTCATCCAGGTATACGTTGTAATCCTTTTAACAAGTTTGGTGTAACAATAATTAAGAATTCACTAAAATTATTCACTAAAATCTCTTTATTGCCTTCAATTTAATCGACCAGGCACGCTTGTTTTTATTGCATGACTTTTTTATTCATCACTCGTGGTTTTAGAACTGGTTCGGCGAAGTCAGAACGTACGACAACAATACGCAATTTTTAATTTACAACTCGAAATTCATCCTGGAACCCAACGAGCCGCTGGTGGTAAACTTCTTCGTGGATTACCATCGGAACGAAACGGCTCCGCCGAAGCTGATCAATTTCAGATTAAATGGTAGGGAAATGTGTCCTGAATCTTTGGCAGTCCCGGCCCCCGTACCTCCGAGGAAGCTGTTCACAAATCCACCCGCTAGCGAGGAAGCTACAACCATTGCTGGAGGCATTGTGCAATCGCGGGAACCTCTTATGTAAGTTTGAAGCTTCCCATCACAATAACTTAGTTTTATTTCAAGAAACATTGCTTTTACGTTGCCCATTTTAACAATAATATTAAAAAAAAAACATTTTTTTTGCAAATAATTATTATTAATGCTTATTTTAACTAATTTATGCAAAATAAAACATATATACTGCACAATTTCTGTGAGCCTTTTTTTTGTTTGAAGGAATAAATAAATACATTAATTAATATAATAAAAATAAAATAAATAAACGTGAATGTCGTTTCTTTAGTCGTAATGGTCCTCTATTTCCTCTATCGGTTTTGTTCTGTTCTGTTTGTACAAAATAAAAGGGTTGAAAATAGCAAAATCAAATAAATGCATAAATATTTCTCCCCCGTTGTTTAGTTAGTTGATAGTCGCGTTACCTGATCTATCGACGCCTCCCATGTAGTTAATGTATTCCACAACTATTTTCAATTTCTTTATTAGGACATTTTCTGAATTGTGAATTGTCAACAAGGGACAAATTTTTTTCTTGTCATGCCACTACATTACCGTGACTTTTTTTTCTTTGGAATGCTATGGATTTTCCTTTTTTAGTTTTTTTAGTCACAAGTTGTCGTGGTAAATCTTTTCTGTGGGACAGCACAGTATATAAATCAGTCTTTTTGTATATAATAATGTCGTATTGGAGTTTAGCAAAAAACCAACGGTGGCTAACTGAACTTTATACCGATTTCCAGTTTGAGCTAACTCAAATCAGAGAGGCTCTGGGAAATATGGTCATACCTTCGGGAGGTTATAACTAGGACGAATGCAAGAGCTGGCCAATAGACGATACTGCAATAAGCGACATGGGATAAAATTAACATATCACAGAGTTTAACTTTGACTTCTTTACTGAGAAAATGTTTATGAATATACAATGTCCTCAACTTATAGAAGGATTTTTATAACACCGAGCCAACATGCTTGGAAAACAGCAAGTCTCATCATCATCATCATCATTTAGCCTAATCTTAAAAGAGGCGATTCTTACAATTTCTTCCCTTATATTTCCCCATAATATCATCCGCATTATGTTAGCATTTTAGCAAGCAAGGTTATCAGCAGCAGACACCTGCCATATTATTTTTGGATCTAAATTTATTTTATTGGCGGCATTTAAAGCTTCACTAGCAACAAAAGATAAATATAACAGAGTATCATCGGCGCTTTGATGAGATTTACATAATTTAAGAAAAGTAGAGAAGTCAACTGTATGAGCTGAGAACCCCTGTCCAAAGCAATAGCATCCGAATGTGTATTTCCTCTTTAGAATCTCTGACAAAGAAAATTGAAAGAGCAGTCAGTACCTTTTATCCCGAAGAATTTCAGTTTAACTAAGAAAGGGAAATGATCCAGTCGAACGCTTTGCTATAGTCCAAGAGTATGGGACAAGAGTTTAATTTAGAATCCGCTGGTCTCAATAAATCATCAGTAACATGAAGCAAGGCAGAAGTAGTGATGTGAAGAGGTCGAAAACCAGATTGAGTGTACGTGAGGATTTTGTTAGCGCATAGTAACTGACGAAGATTTTTATCTGCACTTTTTTCAATAATCTTTGAGATGGTTGGCAACAAACTGATTGGTCTAAAATCGTTAATGCCACTTGGACCCTCTTTCTGTGACACGGGTATAACTCCAGAGATAAGATACTTGTTAACAAGGAAAGTGATGTGATCGACTAAATACGGAGTAGTCAAAAGCATCAAAATTTTGCTAACTTCCTCAGGGTAGGTATAGGCAGGTAGGGTAGGTACTTTTCGGCTCTCACTCGGGAGTTCATAAGATTTCGTAAATCTCTAGACTCATTTGAAGTAACACGTTTGTATCTTCAACGTGGACTAAGTTTTATTAAAAGTTTAAGGTTTTCGGTAAACCAAGGGACTAGGGGTCTCTTAATTCAATATCAAATAAATCATTCATTCATTTATATCATCAAAAAAATTAGCGATGACCAAGAAACGAACTAGTGCGTTTGATTTATTACAAAAATTGTCTAAAGCGCCGGCATTTTGGAAACAACCGTCAACTCAAGCGATTCGAACATAAAACATATAAAAACAAAAATTTAAAGATCCCGGAAACCTGATCGTAGAAAATGAGTTTAAGAAACTCAAAAACCGAGTCGAAAATAAAATGAAAACATTAAGTTAAAAAAAAAACAGTGGGGTTTTATTCATAACTTCCTTCAAAATTTATTCCAATGAAACGGAGATTAGTATTTTTATTATACAAAATATTATGAACATTATTTATTTATCATTGAACCTGTTTTCCGGAAGACCTATCATTTTTTACTTACACCACAGACTAATTTTAATAAATATAAATGAAATAAGTCCAAATAGGTTTCTGTCGTAAGGCCCATAAAAAATGTCGCAAAAATATGATGCCGACAGTTGTGAGCATTTGGTTATTTTTTCTTCATCGCTGTGATTAGGTCACAGTCAGAGACATATTTAACCCAAAAGAAAATATGACAGATATGTTAACCAAACTAATAAATAAGTTAAAAACAAGCAAAACAAGCGCAGTTTTCAGAGCAGGTAACAAAAAAGAAAAGAAATTTTTGAAATTTGCTGTTTCATGGGGAAGATGCCCCTCTCGAAGAAATGGTGAAAATACAAGCCAATACTAAAAAAATTCAAAAGAAAATGACCGATTATTTGAAACATTAAATGTAGTTCATAAATATTTATATAAAATGTTTCTAAGTAGTTGTTAAAATATGTGCATAAAAAAATTAAATATTACAGAACACATAGGCGTGTTGTTATTTTTCAAGTGCCTATAACTATTTATAACCAAAAAAAAGCAGTCCCTTCAATTTCGCTATATAGAGTTTCGACTGTATATACTGTACATAAATGTTAAATTTTCTTAAAATATTTCGATTTACATTATTTTTCATTGTTTCACGGCCCCCATTTTGTTTTTAATTTTTAGCGAGGCAACCAACGTGCAGCTGGAAGGTAAAAAGTCGAAAGATGATGATCTCTGGAACGTGTTACTGAGGGTTGTCAGCGTGGAACGCGTCCGACGTCAGTCGTGACCGCCCCAGGGGACCGTTGACTTTAATAAATGATTAACTTTAACTTGGATTTGAAATGTTTCCCCTACCCCGCTCACCTTTCTGCTTTCGATTGTAACTAATTGGGAAATAGTACAGAACGTAGTTCCTATTACGTTTCTTGTGATTGCGTTAACGAACCATCGGTTGAAACGAAGTAATACAGGTCAAAGCTTTTGTGTTCCAATTTTAATCCAAATCCTAAACGTATACCCTCGCTCGTTAAGGGACCTTTTAGTTATTTAAAGTAGCCCACGTAATAATCGTAATTAACGACTCTAGGATCTTTCTGAATCTTGTATAAAGTAATTAAGTTACTATAATTCGATTTTCCTTTATTTTGGCGACGTCTTATCTTATATAATCTTTATTTAGCATCATGCTACATAAAAAATACAAAATATAAATTTTAAATATAAAATTCCAGGTAAACGGAAACCAAAAGCTAAGCAAACAAAATGGCTTAGCCCTTTATGTAATATAAAGTTTTTTACATGACTAGAATGACATTCTTTCAACATAAAATTTAACATAACTTTTGGTTTTACAGACAAGGAATTAAGAACACTCAACCTGCTCTGAATTGGCGGACATTTTAGTATATTTCTTATCAATCTGCAATCTGCAATTGTTCTAATTTTTAATTAGGCAAATTGAACAAAATTTTGACTTGTCCGTGCTTATACAAAGGTTATTATTGCGCAGCCATTCAAAGGCATTTTTCAGATCAGCATTCATTTTTCTTTGCATTTCATCCACATTTTCACCCACAATAAAAATCACAGTGTCGTCCGCAAATAATACCGCTTTAGTATCATCTGAAATATTTACAATATCGTTTATATACATAAGAAACGACAATGGTCCAACAACAAAAAACTATGAAAATGTCTTTTTTTTGTGACCTCGGGCTGTGTACGAATAAATAATATTTTGGTTAATTAGGTCGCCATCGCACTGGTTACATCGAGAACGTTATTTGTGAAAAATAAAATATCTATCTAAAACAAAATATGTAGTGTCTAATTATCAACTAGTGAATTTTAAAAAAAATTTATTAGAAGACTGTTCTTTTTGCTTTTACAGTTTTAATGAAATTACATAACATGCCAACAACAAAATAAATAATAAACGATTATTTAAAAAAAACACCTCCTAATATAATAATAATAATAATTTTTATTTTATTTTATTTTATTATGTGAAATTCCTCACGCCCGCCACTGGTATATTTGAAAGAAAAAATATTTTATTTTTGAAAAGTTTACCCACAACGCATCTCAAAAGTTAACTCAACTCATTTTGTCCCGTCGTGCGTTAGTTAATCCAACTCATTCATTTTTTTCGCTGCTACCGAGGATCGAACCCGGGAACCATAAGTTGTTGACCGCCAACTTGAACGGTGAGCCAAGCAGCCTATCAAAATTCGAAGCATAATATAATAACGTGTTAGTAAGTAGTAATTGAGAAGGATCCCTAGTTTTTTTTTCCTACGGGACCCGTCCGTTGTTGAGCGCCGACTTCGTCGGTGAGCTAACGACCATATTAAAAGAGAATAAGTAACAATGTGTTAGATGTGGAGGATGATGATGTCATGTTTCTTTTCTTCCTTTAAAAGTTAGGTTTGTACACTAATAAATAACATTTATGGGGGGGCGGCGAATCTGGATTTGAGAAATGCAAAGCATTTATTGTTTCACTTGAGTAAGTTTTCCATACATATTAATACAGGGTACGCGAAAAATAAGATTAAAAATTAATTTAAAAAACCTGCCAAAATTTTTCTTAAATTTGGAAACTACATATTTTTACAATCTTGTCATATGTAGCATTAAAAATTAACCCATTTTGTCCCAGTAGTGCGTTAATGCAAAACCTATTCTATGATTTTTTTTGTCACATCCACCAAATATTTTTGCGCATCCATTTAGAAATTTTATTATTATCACTACTAAAGGACATAAAACCGTAGAAATCCCTAATTTATGTGTAAAGAAAAGATCTTATATACGACTTCAAAGGTTAGCAAAAGCGGTACATAAATTTGTATCACATTTTCGAGTAAATCCAGAATAGTAAAAAAATATATTTTGGATTTATATTGCCATTTTTGTTGAGGTACATACATTGGAAATACTATATTGATTATGTTTATTTTTTGAAAAAAATTACTGGCGCGTGAATGCACGACTGGTTTTATCTGTGGAAAAAAACTTTGTTATTGCAAGTCTAGACAAGTCGGCGCGTGTAGAATAAACGTCCAACAATTAGCGTGTTCTTCAGTATTAGTTTGTGTCATGTGCAGTGAACGTTACAGTTCGTAAAATATGACATTTCCGAGATATCTGACTCAAAAGTAGTTACAGGCGGCTATGGAGGAGACCGTGATGGATGAGGACAATAACAATGAAAGTGGTAAGTATTATTTGGATCTACGTATTCGTATGTATTGTAGCGTTCCATTCTTTGTAAATTTATGCTAAAAATAACGTGCAAAAATATTGACGGAACATATTAACGCCGACTATATTCCGCCCGAAGTGGATACCTTGACTGACGAAGAAGATATGAACGATAACGTAACTCTACAAGAGTTTGGGGAACCAACTAATATAGTTGGAATATAGTTGGAACTTTCCCTTTATATAGACGTGATACCTCGTAGGGTCCCGGGGAAGGCACATTTCCGTTTTCGTTTTCAATAAATTCGCCGTTTTTAAATACGGTTAGCAAAAAATTACTGTCAACGAAGACCTCGTAAAAGTTTTAGTTTAAAGGCGTTTATTTTTATAAATTGAACCGCGCCCTGCGTCACAAACACTTAAGTGATTAAAAATTTCAGCTTAACTGGTTTGTTTTAGTTTTCTTTTCGGTGCCTTCGTAGTGGATAACGCTATATCCATTGTAATCAATTTGTCGGATGCACTTTCATAATTATATTTCTAAATAATATATTCCTGGATTAACGATTAGACTCTCGTTATTAGTCTATTTAGTCCCAAACCCTCTTCAATAAAGTTTCGACAAAGATCTGTTATCCGGTGGGCTCGCGAGTTTCGACATGCTTTTGAGAAGATTTAATGGAGGAGCCCGAAACTTCATAAAAAATAATTAACGCCGATCTAGCATCAAAACACTAAGCGAACAGTAAACGCGACAATCCGAAGATTGCGGAGATGGGATAATAATTCTCGACGAGTTAAACATGGGAATCAAATTTGGCTGACGTCAGCAAAACCACATAGGAGAAATATATTGCGATGTTGTAGAATATAATTCGAAAATTATGCTTCCAGGCGGTTGCAAACTGGCTACTTTATTTCAACAAATAAAAAAAATGTTGTCTAGTTTTATGATTTAAAAACGATAGATAGATAGATAGATATAGATAGATATTTCGCTTTTCGATACTACATATAACACATATATGGGTATATTAAGCACGTCATATCACATTAAAATACAGTGTTTAAAAAATACATTTAAAAAAAATCATCTACTAAGTAGAGACACCTATCAGTTAAAAAGTTCTTTTCTTCGAAGCAAGCCAAAATACCTTGGGTTTTGTTGCCCGACACGCAGTCTCTTGGAACGTCCAAGTAATCTCTTTGCCGTGTGTCATGTTCGTGCCAGTCACATCTCCTATTCCATCTTATCGTGTTACTTTTGACGTAAATCAAAACGGAATAAATAGAAGGAAGTGTCATGATCTGAAGTTCCCTAAATAAATCCCTGCATGAATGTTTACTAGTTACACGCATCGTGTAACGAATAGCACGTTAGAACGAATAGATTATACCGTAACCTGATTGGAACAGCCCATAGTACACCAGCCTTAATACGTCAATGGATACCGTATCTCGAATATTTTGGATTAAGTATGAGCAGGAGATTAATTTGGGCAATATGTTGTCGATGTGATGATTCCATGTAAGTTTGTTGTCAATGCACAGACCGAGAAACTTAGTAGCCTCCACGTTTTCTATAGAACGTCCCTCCAATTGGAGAAGAATACTGGAATCAACGCGAGTATTTTTTGTGACTATTAGATTTATTTAATTGTAGTCCGTTATCGCGACACCATTCATTCAACTCGTGACCCTTGGTTCTGCGGCCCCTCTTAAATTAGCTCTGTCTTTATCGGTAACTAAAATGCTTGTGTCATCTGCATACAGTACAAATAATGCATCTATAAGGTTGTTCGGAAAGTCATTTCGTTTTTTCCCGTCAGAGGACTTAATTACGTTTTTTCGAAACCAACTTCACACTTAAGCCGCATAACCATTATATGTCTTGAGAGCTGATATTGCAAGGCTTGTGTGTGAAAAAGTTCTATTAATTCTACGCAGTAGTTTTTTGTTGGTGCCCTTTAAATATGGAGAGCAATAAGCAGCATTTTCGTCATATTTTACTTTTTTACTTCAGAAAAGGTGAAAATGCTGTCCAAGCGAGAAAAAAATTGACGGATGTGTATGGAGAAGGCGTGTTAACAGTACGCCAGTGCCAGAACTGGTTTGCAAAATTTCGATCCGGCAATTTAATGTCGAAGATGCACCACGGTCTGGAAGGCCGGTCGAAGCTGACAAAGATGCGATAAGGGCATTAGTTGATGCAAATCGGCGAATAACCACACGAGAGATCGGTGAGAGATTAAATTTGTCGAATTCGACTGTTTATGGCCATTTGAAAGGCATGGACTTAACCTCGAAGCTCGATGTGTGGGTGCCCCATGTCCTTACGGAGCGAAATTTGTGTCGTCGCGTTGACGTGTGTGATTCGCTCCTCAAACGTCAAGAAAATGATCCATTTTTGAAGCGGATTATTACTGGGGACGAAAAATGGGTTGTATACAACAATGTTAAACGCAAGAGGTCATGGAGCAGAAAAGATGAACCGGCTCAAAGCGTGTCAAAAGCCAACATTCACCAAAAAAAGATGATGCTCTCCGTTTGGTGGGATGTCGAAGGAATCGTTTTTTTTGAGCTTTTGCCAGACAATACAACGATTAATTCA